ATAACACAAACTAGTCCCCACTAGTCCACTACTTACTAGCTCTTTATTAAATACTACTAATAAAAACGAGTAAAGGGTCAGTTTGGTTCTCGAAGTTGCAAAAAAGGGGTCAAATAAGTCCTTATATAGAAGATTCTGTCCGGACGTGCCATTTGAGGTGACTCCCAATAGAATTTTTTGATAAAATTTTTTGAGCATCTTATTCATTAAGTCTAGTTTACTCATACCAAATTTCAGCTAGAACTTCAATCGGGAAGGCATTCAAATGAATCTTGAAGATAACTGCGCTTTTAACGGCACAGTTATCTTCAAGAATTCATTTGAATGTCTTCCCGATTGAATTTTTATTTGAAACTTGGTATGAGTAAACTAGACTTAGTGAATAAGATGCTCAAAAAATTTCATCAAAAAATTCCACCGGGAGCCACATCAAATGGCACGTCCGGACAGGATTTTCTATATAAGGACTTATTTGACCCCTTTTTTGCAATTTCGAGTACCAAACTGACCCTTATCCCCTAATAAAAACTACTGCAAACTACTTAACTACTAAACTAGCAGTCGAAAGTATGAAACTAAGTCTAGAAAGGCACTAAGGCAGAAACTAGAAAGCTATAAAAAATACTCCGTAATTAAATAAAGAGACAAAGAGTCTACAGACTACTAAAGTGTAAAGTCTAAAGAAAAGATTATTTTACACAATTGAGTCATACGGTCATACCTGATAGAGTGATAGTGAATCAGGGATTTAGAAATTAGAAACTCAGACTGCAGAGACCGGAGTCCGGAAAATTGGAGGCCGGGCGGAGCAAGAGTGCAAGGCAATCGCCAATCGGAAATCCCCAAATCAGGGCTAAGGTATGGAGGGCTGAGGGCGGATGCTCGTCATGCTGGTGGCGATTGCTGGCGGCTGGACTGCTGGAGCTGCCGAATGCGGAGCGGAAAAATCTGGTTGTGAAGTCGATTTGCTTCTGGCGTTCAAATGTCAACTTCTAATGCTTTTAACTGCTTCTTGGTTTTAACTACTTTTAACTGTTTCGTGGTTTCTCTGCAATTAATTCTCTGCTTAAACAAATAATTACTGTTTAAGAGTAATTGCACAATATAGGAGTAAGCATAAACATAGTTGCACAACCTAGTTAATTCTAAATATTTTTTATTTGATCCTAATAAAATATAAAAAAAAATCTAAAATATTTGAAAAAATATATTGAAATAATAAAAATTAAAAAAAAACAAAAAAAAAAACCTTTATAAAAAAATAAAAAAATAGATAACCACATTAAAAAAATATAAACAATATATTGCAGGTCTTTCCCGCAACCTCAGCCACCACCCAGCAACGTCACCTCCGAACGAAGAAAAAAATGTCATTTTATGTTAAAACTATCATTTTTCTTTGAAAATGCCATAAAATGGCAGTTTTACTCTTTGAAAATGCCAAATTTTCTAAAAAAACTGTCATCATGATGGCATTTCGGAAAAAAGTTGGCATCTTTTTCGGTGGTCGGAGCTGGTGGTGCTGGGAGGTTGTTGAGGCGGCGGCATACACCTACATTTTTTTAATTTTTTAATTTTTTTTAATTTTACTTTTTTAGTTTTTATTTAATATTTTTTATTTTCACAATTTTTTATTTTTATTAATTTGATTTAATATGAAGTATGTTTTATTTTATATTTTCTTGTGTTTTTTCATTTTTTAAAAATTTTATCATAAATTAATGTTATTCCTTTTATGTTTTAATTATTGATGAAAGTTTTGGGGCTTGGGTAGGAATATACTTATCCAAACACTAAAGTTACTCTATTCAAAACATGATACTCTTATTTTTGTATTTTGCCTATCTTTTACCCCGTTTGGGGAATTCTCTCTTTGTTTAAACCAAAAGTGCCCCCATCTCTTCTTCCTGCATATTTACCATGTCCTTCCATAGACACATCTGAGCTAGAGAAGAGCTTCCACACCGACCTCTGTGGCAAAAAGCTCCGACGACGGTGCAACGCTTCGGCGGCGGCGAAAAGCTCCTGGGGAAGCCGCCAAGAGAAGGGCATGCTGAACTAAAGAAGGGGCTATGCAGCTGTTGAAACTCGACCGGTGATCTCAACCCAAAGCTATGCCAATGTCTCTGACGGCCACGAATTGAGGGTTGTGCAGGTCTATTTGCAAAGAAACCTCACCGATTTTGTTGGACTATTGCGTTTTAAGCTCTGTAATTTGCAGCAGGCCGTAGAGATGGGTCTTTGAAGGGATGGTAGACTCCAAGGGTATTTTTGTTGTTATCAAAAGGGAAAAATAATTAAAATACCCCAAACTTTGAAGGGGTGTGAGATGAGCACCCCAAACTTGCATATGTAATTTAAATACCCCAAAGTTTGTATAAAAAGTGATTTTAACACCGTAGTCAAGTATTATTTTTTTCAAAAAATGTAAATTATGGTGTTAATTACATAATTTAAAATATTTTAGAATTCATGAAGACACAATCAACATTCTAAACTTCCATTGCGAAATAAATAATGTTACCCGCAATCTATATAATTGCAACACTTTTAATTTGCTATTTTAATTTATGCAATTAACCCCATAACTTTACATTTTTGAAAGAAATAATACATGACAATGGTGCAAAAATAACTTTTTATATAAAGTTTGGGGTATTTAAATCACATATGCAAGTTTGGGATGCTCATCTCACACCCCTTCAAAGTTTGAGGTATTTTTATTATTTTCCCTTATCCAACTATTAGATTTTTTATACATGACAATGGTGCAAAAATAACTTTCTTTATTATTTTCCCTTATCCAACTATTAGATTAAAAAACAGTTTTTTTTATCAAACACTCCAATTTTTACATTTTAATTAATATCACATATATTTCCAAACATTGCATACTTTTAGTTCAAACCACTTTTCCAATAATCTTTTTAAAAAAATCACTTTTAAAAAAAACAAACAATCGCAAACACTCCCTAATTAGATGTCCAATTTCAATTATTGTATTAAAAAATTAATTTTAATTATAATATTAATAGGTTTTTTTATTAGGCCCCCCAAATTTTGGAGGGCTCTAGGCACAAGCCTGGCCCAACTAGCCATAGGGCCGGCTCTGTGAAGGATTGTCGAGCGAGAACCCTACGAGTGGTAGAGATTGGTCTGAATCAATTGATATTCGTTGTGAATACATTAGCTGGATGGACTGATTCAATATTTTGGTTCGAAAGTGGCGACTCGCGAGCAATCACAGTGCTTCTTTTTGCCACAATGCTTCTTTTTTCTTTCAATGATCTAATAAACATAACATATCAAATGCTCATATAGATTATCTAAATCAAAATTTAGCTTAAAGTTTAATTTAGAAGTTAGTAAAATAAACTATTGAAATACATTGCACTGTGTATATACATAAAGCACATTATATTTCAAAAATTTGTTTGAGACCCTTCCAAATTGAATTAGTGTTTTAAAAAAAACACTAATTGGATTAGTGTTGTTGCATGCAATATTGTGTGCCTAAATAAAAATAGGGAGTTTACATATCATAAGTAATTGTCTTGCAATAAATTGAAGTCGCTTAGTTAGTGACTCCGCTAGACAATTTTGAGTATGAAAATGTGCTACAGGACGTTCTACTCTGATTTTGATGGGCATACAATAATCATTAAGAGTCTGGAGGGTGAACTTGCCAAAATTAATATTAATGTTTTTGAAAAATATATATATTAGTCTTATGTGCTGGACAATATGATTTGCCTGTAGACTTGAGCATTTTGAATAAGGTTACATATGATTTGAAAATGAAATAAAAGGGACTAAATTGAAGAGTCGTGCTTTGTCTTTATATTTCATTAGAGAGTTGAAAAGAAGACTATGAAAAATGTAGTCCAGTTCAAACAATTTGCTCTAGGGGTTACTAAAAAATTTGAAAAGTGAGAAGTAATATATTCAAATAGAAGATGGATTATGTCAGTTACTTTTAAAAAATTGAATTGTTTGGGACAGTCATAATAACATTTTTGCAAACTTATATTGATGACACTCCAATGTTTATTTTGCCTTTGTCGTGAATTACTTTGTAACTTTGAAATATTTTACAAACACATGCGATGTTACTTTATAATACTTCTTTTCATATAAAGAAAGAATGAGGGATTTGTTAATAATTAATGCTAAGATAATAATTATGAACTATGTTTGAGATTTTCTACCAAACAGTTTGTAGGCATAAAGTAAGAAACTTTTGCAAATAATAAGAAGCCAACCTTTGTTAAATCTTGAAAGTGCTCATCATAGGCAACTTTTGAAAGGCCTGTTGCAATTCGTTTTCATAAAATGAACACAAAGGCTAGATTATTCTATTTGAAACTTCTGTTAAGGGCGAGGCGAGATTACTCGCTGGTTAACTAAAAAGCAAAGCATACACAATTTATTTTTGTATTGGTTAAAGTTCTGGATGAGATTCAAGTCAACAATAAAAGTACATAACATGTAATTGGTGCAGATAAGGAGAGTCGTGCAACACATGAAGTGCATGAATTTAAAGGATTAGGTCTAATAATATATTTGCTTTGGTGCAGAAGATGTAAAGGGGAAGAAACATATCCTCTCCGCTTGGAATTGAATGTATAACCTTCCAGGACAATTGCCGCTAGTTGATGGCGGTTTGATAACCGTAAGCAATTTTGGAATGTTTTCACCTCATTAGAATGTTAGAATTGGAGGGAAAATGAATCATGCTAACCAAGTTTGGATTTTATTTTATAAGCAGAGATATATATTTTCCGTATAGGGGAGCATTGGTTTTATCACAGGTACAAATACTAAATTTTGAAGTCACAAGCGGTGACACTTTCCTTTTGGTCCTCCACTATTGTGTCACGCCCCAGACCGAAATCCAGGCGCGTGTACAACCGCCGTAAAATCAAGTGACGTCACCCGCAAGTCAACTTCACTTGGTCATACAAGGCGTTCGAGAAACATAATCCATCCATACTCAGTAGTAAACATACATAACAACATCACATTTATACCAATGAATAGCGAAAGTACTCAACGGTAAATCTTAAGCCACATTCGGCCAACAACATGGGCACGCAAGCCCAAGAGCAATTTATTGTAAGTAAAATATCCATGAGCATTATCAATATTGTTTTAAAATCAGAAAACGGAGGAAAACACGAACCACGTTTTCTCTCCTTGGATCTTCCCGAACGACGGGCAGCGTAGCAACTTCAAGTTCTTCCTGAAACTGTGAGGTGGCCTCCCCCGTGAAGGGGAGGTCAGTACTTTGAAGCATTTGAAAAGTACAATGACAACTATACTAAGTATAATCAATGTTTCAATCTCTAAGACCCTCAATTTAGGGTATTATTACATTATAGTTAACCCGTTCATTTAATATCGATTCACTGTGCTAGAGTCCTACTCCTAGCCACCCTTACGTCGGTCCAGAGCCCTGCTCTAATCACCGCTACTTACGTCGGTCCAGAGCCCTGCTCTAATCACCGCTACTTACGTCGGTCCAGAGCCCTGCTCTAATCACCGCTACTTACGCCGGTCCAGAGCCATGCTCTAATCACCGCTACTTACGTCGGTCCAGAGCCATGCTCTAATCACCGCTACTTACATCGGTCCAGAGCCATGCTCTAATCATCGCTACTTTCGTGCTAGAGCCTGCTCTAGTCACGTCGTTTAAATATCTAAACAATTTCGTGTCCTATACTCTGTTCATAAAGTCCACCGTAAATATCTCTTAAGGCTACTTAGGACACCTTCCTTACAAATCATTTTCTTAGGATTAGCTCCATCAATTATTCAACTAACATTCCCGACTAATATTTCATTATTAGTCGTTTGTTCATTTCCATTTAATTCCTCATTCATGTGTCATTTGGCATTTATATCAAATATCACTTTTATACTCTCATGACTTCTTCTCATGAAATAAAAGTATATCTATCATAATAAAATTCATGGTTATTACAACCATTATACCCTCATATTAATAGCACTTAAACATACCCAATTTATTCATAAATTTGTATATTTTGCATACTACACTTATTATCAAAAGTAATTTCATTTAGGCATTATTAATCATTATTATTTTTCAAAAAATATAAGTATATTGATCACGATAAACTTCATGATTAATACAATCATCATACCATCATATTCATAACACATAAGCATACCCAACTTATTAGTCATAAATTTGTATATTATGTATACTATACTTATAATCAAAAGTAATTTCATTTAGGCATTATTAATCATCAATAATCCATGCAAATCACATTTTTATCCACTTAGGAACTCTTATGAGATTAACCCAATAATTATAAGCAATATAGTCGGTCATCCTCACTTTGAGTGAGCTTAAGCGCGTTCTACGCTTCCCGATTGAACTTTGACTATTTCCGGCGAACTTTGACCAACTCCGGCGAAGCTCAAAAATACTTTAATCAAGTTCCTAACAAGGTTTTAACATCATAAAACCTAAATCAATACAAATAACCTCTAAAGGGTTATTTTCCGATGAACTTGTCGATTTGGCTTCTAAGTCCGTTCTTGGACTTAGAACCACACTCCAACCCATTATTCCACACTTAAACCATGTAGAACAATCCTAATGGTTCTTCATGTGATATATATCTCATATGGTAGAAGAAGAATAAGGAAAAAGTTATGATAAGGTTATTACCTTAATTTCCACACCTTTTTCTCCCTTTTTCTCCCCTAAACTTTTCCCCTTTTCCTTGTTTGAGCTTGGACTCGAGTTGGCTATGGAGGATGAGCTTTCAGAGCTCCTTTTCCCTTCTCTCCTTGGTGCTGGCCGAATACAATGATGGGGGGAAGGGGGGATGTTCACTTTTTGTCTTAATTGACAAATAAGTGATGGGAGGGGACAATACATGTACTTTTGATGCCAAATGCATCTCCTCCATTCCTTTCTTTGTCAAACCATCCCTCAATTGTTCAACTCAGCACCCAAAAACGTGGGGTGGCCCCCACTCATGTGGGAGGTCATCCCTTTGTGTCCCGATGTGTACAATCGATCCCGAAAGTTGTATTTTTTCGGACTGTTTTAAACATATTTTATTTTATCGGGCCAAATAAAATATATTATGTGTTCTTAATCATTATGACTTTTATAAGGAATATCCATCCCCGAACTTTAATTTATAAGTTCACGAAATAAATTCATTTCGGGCTTTTGTCTGATAAATTACCAGTACCGGTATTTTGGCCTTTTTGATCAATCGGTCAACTCTATATCATTTCTTTGGACCAAATAAATTATCCACCATTATATAGATATTATATCGACCAAGATGACTAAAATATACGGTCTCGGGAATATCGGGCGGCCCCCGCTCCCGGTGTGGGCCCCGCACGCAATTTACTATTCACGCGAATAAAAATAATAAAAATTCACAACTCCGCATATTCATTAATCCTCTCACAAGGTTCAAAACCTCATTCACTTAAAAGTAAATACATTTTGGGACGGTGTTACATATTGTGTGTCATGTTGAATTCTTATATAATTTGCGTGCGGGAAAAAAGAAATTGAAAAACTAACGAACTTTACAAATTTGTGCAAAAAAATGACTATATAGACATTGATTTGCAAGTGTCTCACACCGATTTGCATTGTTTTGCAAACGAGTAACGGTTAGATTACACATAAACCAATGTTCATGCACAAACACGAGTTGCCGGTATGCGGACATTATCTATGAGATTTTCGTTGGGAAAGAATGGAGCTGGGGTCATCAAAATTGTTGTTTATGTCGCTGGTAAAATATTTTATGTTTCGTCATAATTTCTGATAAAATTTGTCTATGTGAAGAAATTAAATTGAAAAATCTAGGAAATGTCGTTAAAGATGTCCGGGTTCTTATAAGAGAGAAATGCCAAAATGGACACTGAAATTTTTAATGAAGTGCATATTGGACATCAAGATTTTTAATAGATCAAATAAACACAAAATTAGACTTTTGAGATCTAATCGCCCACCTTCTAATATTTCCCGTTAAACGGCTTATCTTCCCGTTATCACCCTGCCCCATGAGATTAGAAAATCCCAATAAATGCAATCCCAAATATACAACAATCCTAATTGATTTATACCTAATAAATACAGTCCCAACCAGATTACGAAGAAGAAATCAGTGATGCCGAATACTCCTTCAGCATCGAGGTCGTCTGAGGCACAGAAATCTGAGTCTACTGATTCCGTGAAGCTTTGAAGCATCCATGAGCATTATTCTGGGCGTTCAAGGTTTTGTATATGCATGAATGCAAATGGAAGTCGCGTCAAAGCGCCACTTTGAACTTCATGGACTGAGAAGAGTTCATGGATGTCCTTATTATGAGGTATGCTTTTAAATATTCTTTTCACATGTGAGAACCAGAAAGGACCATGAATATGTTATTCATATTCATATTGATATTCATACTCTTGTGCTTGATGTATACCCAGAAGGATGGATGTGGCATCTTTGAATGGCATGATGAGCCATTAGCGTAAAGAGCAAGGGATGTTATCAATGAGCTGAAACGGGAGAATAGGATACTGCAATATGTAATGTTTGAACTGGAATGTGATAGTGTTGCTCAAAAGTTGGAACTGAAGTCGAAGAAGTCAACAGTAGGAAGGATGTGGCCCATCTAGAATTGGAAAGAAAAATCAAAATGAAGAAGAATTATGTTATTGTAGTGTTGATCTTTGTCTTTATTGTACTAATATGTGTCTTTGTATGTTAGTTTCAGTTTCTTTTAAAATGGTTGGTTATTACCTTGTAAACAGTTTACAAGTTATGCACTACTCAATTTGAATTGTTGTTACTGACTTTGAGTGTTAATAAGAAAACACCAGATGAGTAAAAGAGAGCCCTCATGGTTGTTTGAGTAGAAAGAAAATACATGTTGCTGTTAGAAGTTTTTAACCTTGTAAATATATTATACACTTCAGTTTGAGAAGATGGTAATCCACTTCCAAATAAGTGGGTTTGGCTATATTCCTATGTAAATAATATGGACAGAAAAGCTAATATCATAACCTTGAGTTATTACACTTCAGTTTATACAATTCAAATTGAGAGCATGAATGCAAACACTAATATCATAGCCTTAATACCTACATATGGTTTCAGCATTAGAATACTTATAAATGATACTAGTTATTTTATCGCGCGTTGCGCGATCAGATAGTGCCCAATGTATATTGCTTAACATAAATATGTCATTTATTCCGATTTACTTGGAAAGATTGTCGTATATGATATTTTTAATTTGTTGGTCAAACAATTTAACACTGCTTTAGGCTAATATCCAATACTATGTTTAGAATCACTCGTAGCGCATGGATGGCAACCACTTGATGCTAATATTTCTGTACAGTATAGCACATTAATACTCAAAACAGAAGAATGACCATGGTGAAAAATAATGATTTATAATTCAAAAGGAAGACTACCTTGATAGAATGACAATGATCTCCTTTGCCTGAAACAAAACATAAAGAAACAAAAGCAGTAAGATCATATATTTAAAAAAGTATTAAAGACTCGAGAAGAATTAGATATAACTTCCAGGATGTTCCAACTTAAGAACTACGAACATCAACAGAGTTTGGTTGCACACCAGCGAAATAACTATAATCCATAATTCTCTCTTGTTCAAGGAAACCATAGTCATGGTCCACTTGCGTGTAAAATGATATATATTAACTTTTGTTTGGTTGTTATAATTGTTTCATTTGAGTTCAATCTGGATAAAAGTATTTATCTAAATTATAAACAATCTGTGTGTAATAGTGTGTGTTTGTTGAATCAACAATATGAATGGGATAATATTAAAGTTTATCATATCAAATATCTCCCAAAAATTACAAATAGTTCATACCAAACTTTAGTCTTTAGGTATGGTGAATTGTTGGAAATTGGTGAATTGTTACATAAAACATGTGTGTATGCTACTGTACTTTTATCATAAAACATAAAACAGTAAAAGAAGGAAGGCAAAGGAAGCTTAAGAAAAATCCTAGTGAAATAAGGATATGAAATTCAATTTTGCCCTCTTGCCTTTTCTTTCTGCATTTTTAAGGAAATATTTTTATTGGAAGGCATTTGTAGAGCAGATAGAGAACATCTTTTTCTAGAATAGGATTACTAAAATAAGAAGCAAAGTGGTCTTTCCCTCTTATGTCTTCTGCAATCACATCAATACATTGAGAAGTACCTAAATAAAATATGTGTGCGAGTTCATAAATTGAGAATGATATTCCTATTTTGGGTTGTAATTAAGAGAAAGAAGACTGCTGTGAAACTCTGGTGCGAATGTCCTCTGATCCCGACGAGGTGGGTTGTGAGCGGCACCCCGACTAACCCTAATTTTTAATCTATTTAATTGAAGGGTCGCAGACATAGTAGAGAAAGTTGAGGGGAGTGACTCTGAGGCTGTACTAATGGAAGGGTGTGAACGGTTTGTTCCAGAATGTAAACAAAAGAAACATGGTATACCTTTGCTATGAAGTTACACCAACAAATTTTTAATACTTAAAACAATCTTACCGTTATTAACCTTTATAAATTTGTAAAGATTTAGCATCTTACATGTTGTAATAATGACCAAGAAAATTAATTTGTCATTTACTAAGAACTTAAGAGTAAAGCACTAAGACACAGTCACATAGAACATAATAAACCACAACTAAATGAATTACAGTCATTAAAGTTGTGTTTTATACTTTTATTTTGAAATACTTTTTAGAATTCTTTATTTAATTTTTTTTTATTATTTTGAAATAAAATGCCCAAAGAAACTATCTTAGGAAATAAATATCCTCTAAATGCATGATAGACTATTTAGTTTCAAGAGAAAAGTTAAAAATAGTAATAAAACTTTTTTTTTCCATAAGTTCTTGGATGTTCTTAGTTTCACAGGGAACTTGAGATTAAAACTAATAAAACTTTCATCAATAATATGACTTTATTACCATGTCAGATGTTTTCAAAAACTTCTAGCAAGCACATAACAAATTCTTGGTTTTTTTTCACACAATATTCTTAATTTCAAAATGTGAGATCATAACTTACTTTTGTCTTAACTCATAATCCATCACTCTTGACTCTTGTACCAAAAAAGTCGTTACTTTTTTACTTCCATTAAACTTATGGATGCTGAAAAGTAAGAATTCATCATAATATGAGTAAGACACTCAAATGAATGCACAATTTAGTACATATCAGAAAGTGGAACCAAGAACCTTAGTTGCACATACCAGAAAGATCTATATTTAAGATAACAATAACAAATTCTAGTAGTGTATAATGAAGGTATTTGTTTCAAAAAATTAGCTTAATTTCCCTTGCAAAATATAATTTATAAAACTATGAAGCAAGCCATCATCGATAAAACTATATAGCAAGCCATTGTGAACATATATTCTATCTTGGTTGCTTGTTGAATAATTATGTTTTCCATATTCAGGCAGAGGGAAAACAAACAAATTCTAGAATCCCATTTAGACATATTCACAAGCACCTAGTATGCTTCAAGAAATTTTCATTTGCTGTCCTAAATGAAATTCATATACGCACTCAAATAGTACAAGAAATCTTAGTTAAACTAACACACATTAACCAAGCATGCTCCAGCAGAATTTTAATTTTCATTCAGCTAAACTCCGCACTTGCTTCCAGTACCAATGATTCATCTTCAACATTAATGATTCATTTTGCCTTAATCTTACCTTCATTCTTATCACCTATAGAATTGGTGGGAAACTCACAAGGATGTTTGATTGGGATTCTTGTGAGATTTGAGAACCCAACAATGCAATTTGGTTCCGTCTCCTAAATATGTTGTGATGTACCACAAAACTTAGGGAGTCGTGAAGATAAGGCATGTAGCGATTTTACCT